CAGGCTGTCTCTGCTCTCGTACTGCTTCGCTAAGTGTCTTTGGCAGTTCGTCACGCAAGGGCTTCAAAGGACGCACGACACGGTATGGAACTTCGTCCTGACTGTCCCTATGGCCCTTGAAACTAACTCGTTTCGAAGCTGTTTTCTTTTTCTCAAAAATTCGCTGCAGTGGCTCGTCGTCACTGAACTCACTCGATGACTCATCTCCTGAGTCGATTGGGTCAAATTTCTTCGGTACGTCCTCAGGTGTCTTCGAGGTTTTTGAACTGACCCGCGTTCTCTTCACCTCAGACTTCTCCTTCATTGGACTCTTTAGAAACCCGACTGAGACTCCTTCTTTGCAGTTGTGGATCGTGTTTGAACCAGCTGCTCGTGGGCCCATATGTTCATCGACTCTTGTAGGGACTTTAGCTGGCTTGCAAGCGATTCCATACTTGTGGATGCCTCATTTTGTGCGACTGGTGTCGTCTTCTGAGTAAATTGGGGAGTCGGAACACTGCCAGTGGCTTGGTTAGCCCCATATCTCTCACGCAAGATGTTCAGATCCATATCGCGTTCCTCTAACATCCTAGTAAGTTGGCTGATTCTTTCATCTTTTGGATCTTGTGTCTGAACCGTATAGGTCGATTTAGATCCCCGTCCATCAAGTTCAGGTGCATCACCGAGCTCAGGCTCAAGAAGATAGACATTGGTCTGTTTCTTATCCTGATAATATCGCTCGACTTTGTCTTTAATCAGCCCATCGGGGTACCTTGGGATCTGGGTGCCATCTCCATAGAAGAGCTTCGGTCCATCCTGAATAACTCGTTTTGCCTGTACGTCCTTTTCTTTTACCACACACGTGTTCCAGTTATGACCAAGTTGACCACAGTAGAAGCACGGTCTCGGCTTGAAAGGTGGACGATTCTCAGGCGGTTTCTGATAGTCAGGCCTCGGCCGACTAAACGACGAGCTGCCAGTCGATTGACTAGCCATCTGTTTCGAGAAAACCTCGAGGTGAGACT